TAAAACTTTTAATCGACGCCCAGCCCTAGAAAAGCAGAGGACAGGAAGGAGCTGCTGCCCCGAGCTCAAAAGAGGGACAGCGCAGATGAAGAGCGGGTGTCGAGGCGCACTCTCGGAAGTCCTGGCTGTACGCCCCTCCTCCCCCAATGCACTCCTTCCCTCCTTCTTTCGAGGCCAACTACCAGGACGAGGTTTACTATTCTCCGATGTACAAGATCCCCCCCTTCCCCCTTTCCAAAAATATAAGAAAGTGTGTGTGTGTTTTTTTTTTCTCCTTTTTAACCAAAAAACAAGAAGCATGACGAACGCTCAATTTTTGCCCAAATGTAGCGCTAGGCGTCCGAAGCAGATTCCAAAGTTTCAGCATTGACCGTTATCTTCTTTGAAAGTTATGAGCGATGTTCTGAGAATTGAAATGGAAAAATGGGGCCCATTTTGGCCCGTTCTTGGTAACTGGCACCATTTAGCTCCATACATTCGAAAGCTCTATCGGCCGCCATTTTCCCGTAGAAATTTTCTAAAAATCACCTACAGCTTTCGAATAATAATGCGGTTCGTATTGAAACTTTGGCATTTCATCCGGACCGCTAAAGCTACACTCGGGCGGACAATGAGCGTTTTGCGATGCGTAGTTGAATTTTGTAACAAAAAAAAACAAAAAAAAACATGTCCCTCTATTTTTTTTTTTTTTTTGCATATCTTGTAGTGTGGCGAATGCCGATCATATTATTCCTGCTCTCGGACAACGAGACTACCACGTGAGCCGATAAGAACGTCAAGGAACGAATCGGGAAGCAAGAAGCGTAAGGAGAATAGGCCTCGCCCAGGACATCGCTTCAACCGTCCGTGACAACCATTGGCCTTTCTTTCATCGGTTCGACCAATGAGCGGGCGATCGGCGTCATGAGCCCGTGCTCACGCGTTCTCACCGGCAGGAAGGACAAACGACTGGCGTTCCGGGAGCGTCGCGGGACACGCAGATTCTTCAGCCGCATTCACGCCGCTCAGACGTCGTACACGCTGTTCGCTGCAGGAGACAATTATCTGAGGACAAAGCATACTCGAAGGCTTCATGCCTGCTTAGAATTGCAGACAGTTCTTGCATGACCAAGGGCATTCATAGAAACACGCCTCAGGAAATCACTGTCTCTTGTGGGAGTGTAAGCGCGGCTTTAGAGCGCATTTGTTGGAGCTAGCTCTTCATCTGGAGTATCAAACGAAACTCCTTGCGTTCGGACCAACAATCCGTGCAAAACGACCGTTTTCTGGACACACGGCAGCTGCACGCGGCCTAGCGGAGCCAGCCCACGCAACGGCCGCCATCTCCGGAATACTCGCACGTATACATCCTCGAGGACAAGAGCGGGTTCAGAGATCTCGGGCATACGCCAGGCCGATGTTAGTGTATGCACGAAGGCGGGGAAGCGGAAATCCGCTTCCCCGCCTTCGTGTTGACGCACTTCAACATATTCAGTCTGTTACTGCTCCGTTTGTCCTGAGGAAGTTTACAATCGCTTTCTAAACGCCACTTCAACGACCCCCCTCCCCCCCCCCCCCCCCCCCAAAAAAAAAAAAAGGAAACGCGGGTTTAATTGTTACGTTTTTTTACACGCGTGCAACACAACCAGACTCCCACGCAACGCCCCTAAACCGGAGGAATGTCTTTCTTCCGGCTCTCACGGATAACAGCGGGCTACTTCTCGCAGTGCCTCCTTCGAAGAACGCGATGGCATAATCGTGGAGATTCGAATGCTGACGCAGTCACAGGGAGCACAGCGTGGCGACGACAGTCAGGTGTGGATCATGGACCGGACACGACCACTGTGTGATCACCTGGGCCACTGGCTACCAACGCCTCGGCTGCTCGGCAGACGTTCGGCATGGAGCTCGTGTCCGTTTGCCACGGCGACGGGAACTGTCCAGACCCAACCAGCTCCAACATTGCCTGATGCAGCACAGCGTGTGGTCCGAACATTGGCAATCCCAGAGCGTGCATATGACAAACATTGGCGGCACAGCTCGTCTTCCCACTCTAGCCCGACCGTGGTTGAGGAGGAGAGAGAAACATTAACGAGTGTTTTGTGGTTATGAAAGTCAAAGGTTCCTAAACAGTATTCCGCGAAAGTAAAAAAAAAAAATTTGCTAAAATCGCGGCGTAGATGGTTAAAATTCGGCAGATTTTGCAATCTTGTACCAGCTGCGTAACTGCTGTGGAAATTTTAGGAATATTTTTCGTCGACGCCCGTGTAGTCTTCTTTCGTCTTTTAAAAAACTTGACATAATTTTTTCATCTAACTGTCTATATCCCTCACCTGGGCCTCCCCCGACCAACCAGCGACTGCTGTTTTAGGATCACTACAATTCAAATGTTTCTTACTAAGGGGTATACACATAATATGTATACTGTGCGGCACTGGTAGAGCAAACACGACTTCGGCGACTTTTCCCATTTTACTTGAAAAGGGCACTGGCGGCCATCAAAACTCGCCACTTAGGTTAGCACCACAACTGAGCACTTTCCAGCACTATGTACACCAGAACACTTTCCACCACCGTGGCAGTCCTTAAAGACTGAGAGGAAAACGGCTGGGCCGCGGCTAACAGTGACGCCGAGTTACATAAACATAATAAGGCCCTCGGTATCTGCCGTTCAGAATAAAGCATGTCCCCTTCGTTGGGAGCATTTCCCCTGCATGCATAATTGAAGTAGATATATATATATACCAGATGCGTCCCGCTTGCTCCCTTGGTTACAGCGCGCAGACGAATGTACAGATGGTTCGCTCAGAGATGCGCATATCAAATTATTTCACGGTCCCTTAAAACTTCGTTTATTCGATTTTTCATAACCCGACTGGAGTCCGAGGTTCATCGTGTTTGCATTTGCAAGATTACAACTGCCCACGAGGAGACCATATCTGCGGTCTCAGCCGCTGCTTCTCCCCGAGCTCCGCAAGCAATGGACCGGCGTGCATCGCTTTCGTTTGCGTGCCATCGCAATAAAGCGGGACGTTGTGGCAGATGCCATATTTTTCTTCGGAAAGAACGCACGTGCGATAGCAAGCTCGCCCAGTTGCCCGTGAGCACGCTGCACGCGCCTCGTGTTTTAGTCCCCGTTACATGGATCGGTCTGGGTCGGCTGCCGACCAGATTGAGCGCGTGCACGGCGCCTGTTTGGTGGACGGCGGTGGCCGAGCCCCGCGGCCCGGTGCCCTCCGCGATGCGGGCAGCGGGGCGCTCCCCTCGGCAGCCCCCGACCGAAAAAGGGCCCCGATCGATGCGCAGTCGCCAGACAGCGGGGCGGGACTCCGCTGCGGGCGCCGGCAGGGGCGCCCCGACGCTGCTCCGCGACGCGCACGAACCGCACTCTGGGCCACCCGACCGTGCCACTGCACCGCCATGCACTCGCAGCCACTGGCATGCCTGGGATCGGCTGCACCGATCAGAAGGGCCGCTTGTACGGCTTGCTCCAACGGCCATGCGATGCCACAGGCAAAGGGCGTCTTCCTGCCACTTCCGTTGGAGCATGATACCGACTGCTACCCTCACTGGCTAGGCTGATTCATATAGGACTAATGATTGGTGTTTCGAGGGCATCGCGCGGCGCTGTACAATCGTCCGGGGACCTCTGACACGCAGTGCACGACGAGGTCAAGTCTGGCGTACGCCTTCATCGGGCGTTTTATCCAAACGCACTGCCGTGCTAGTGAGACTCTGGGGCCTGCTTCGCACTGTACAGCTTTGGCAGCGCATCCTACATACGTACGCAATGGAGCCACGTATTTCGCGTCTGCAGGAGTATTAGCGCGTTCGCAAACAGTCATCGCCAACCACTGCTAATGTCCCAGACAATCTGGCGCGACAAATGCCGAATCTTGTCCGCTGGCCAAGGAAAACCGGCTGCTCAGAACGTTCTTGGGCTAACGTTATAGCTTCTTTACGGATACATGCTTCCCTAGTCTGCTGGTAACCCGACAAATAAAGGTTGATTAACGCGCATTTACACACTTGCAACGGAGTAAGACCGAGGGAGACAAGACAGGTTTTTAAGCCTCTTGCGACGGTGCAGGACCGGATGCGCTGCAGCGGAGCAGGTCCTACGCCGTCGCAAAAGGGTTAAAAACCTGTCTTGTATCTTTAAGTCGTACTCAGTTGCACGTGTGTGAACGGGCCGTAAGAGGTGCACATCGAACCCACGCGAGCAGTAGCCTGGGTCTCCAATGGAATGATGCCCCAGGAACAAAACGCGTCAGCGTTCGAGCCCGCTCGACCAAGTATTCTGCCAATGACGGGATTGTTCTCGCCTTAGCAGGCGTTCTCTGTTCTCGTACGTTCAGACGTTCTCTGTGTCTGGTTCTTCTACTGAAAGTTCTTCCGATTTCTTCCACCGCAGTCTCAGGTGTAATACGACATGATAAGCAGGCAGGCCGTGCAGTCCATGAGTGCCGACGGAAAGTCCGCGGATGTCGCAGTCGTTTCAAGTTAGACATTATGATGTCCTAGTGGTCTGGACGCTATCCGCGGGATATGCAGGCGTCGAAAGGCACCAAAGACACTAGCAGGAGTACATACTGCTTGGCGCCTTCCAAGATAAAGCCCGACGTTCGCAACATCCCAGCTGAATGTGTTTTGCCGTCCCGTCGCAGCGCGCAGACGTCGCTGGTGAAACACGAGATCCCGAGTGAAACCCCGTCGGACGAGGGAGTGACAGAGTGGGCAGAGTGCAACAGGAGACGAGATGAGCGCATTGCCCGTGTCACGGATCACGTGGATAGCGCCCTTCCGAGCCACACGCGTGACGTGGACATGCCGCTAAAGCACGGAGGCGCGGCGTAAAGCGCGTGGGACACGGGGGTCCTTGAGACCGCAGCGGCTGTGTTTAGGAGGCTTCGCGGCGAGAAACAGTACCATGGAAAGGGTCGCTCCGCAATCTTGCCTAACGATCCCAATCTCCGGACGCGTGGCGGGGTCGGCGAGTGCGGTTCGGCGAGCGTACTCACCTGGTTCTCGGAGCGGAGGATCTTGAGCTGGTCGTTGATGAGGGCGTACTTGGCGGCCTCCTCCTTCCGCAGCGCGCGCTCCTTCTTCAGTTCGGGGCTCCAGAAGGTCTTGATACTGTGCATGCTTGAGCCGAGCTTCTGGGTGGTGGCGTCCAGCTCCCGCTTCACGCTGCCGTACTGGCTCTGCAGCTCGTTGAGGCGCGTCTGCAGCTCGGCCACGAAGCTTCCGCCGTCCCGGCCGTAGCCGCGGGCGTAGGGGTCTCCGTCGATGGCCGTCTCGCGGTACATGTCGTCGCGGTAGCGAGGCCTCGCCAGGTCACCGCGCTCGAGCGACCGGTCGCGGATGGGCACGAAGTCCTGCTCGGCGCCCTGGTAGGAGCGCAGCTGCGGCGGCACCCTCGTCGCCGACCGGCTCCGGTGCGAGACCCGCTGGTCCAGCTCGTCGCCGTAGTAGCCGGCCTCGTGGCCCATGGTCAGCGGGCTGCTGTTGCTCGACCGGCTCACGCCGTACTGGGCGCCCGGTCGCATGCGGCGCCCCTGCGACGGAGACGACAAGGTGCGGGCGATGGGGCTGCCCCGCGCCGACGGAGGCTGCGAGATGGACGCGTACGAGGTCCGGGGAGGCGCGCCCAGCATCGCGTCTCGGGGGCCCGCCCGAGGCGACCGTTGCGCGCCGCCGTACATGTCCCGCGACGACATGGCCGGCCGGGCCCCGGGCTCCGAGGCTCAGCAGCCGGCAGGCTCCGGGCCCGGCCCCGACATGGCTCTCGGCGCGCCGGGAGCTTCGATCCGACCGATGGCTGCTGCTCTGCCCGCTCGCGGCCGCCCCGCCGGCTCGCCACTCCACTCACACACAGCACGCACGGGGGGCACAGGCGGCCGCCGAACGTCGCTCGGCTGGGCTCGGCGCAGGACGCGGACTCCGGTCTCCTCGGCAGCTTTTCGGCCGCTTCACCGAGCCGACGGCGCAAACGGTGCCCAGCACAAGCGCCACTCACCGCGCCGAACTTGCTCGACTCCCCGCCTGGGGGCAGCAGCGCCGACGGACTCCTCTCCCTCCTTTGTATATTTGGCGGCGTTCTTTCGCAACGACACCGACGGCACTACCACGACCGGGCCCGTGGCGCTGCCGGACGGTCGGAATTAATATATTCAGGCTTCGCCCACTGCGCTTCCATAATTTACACCAAAAAAGCCGGAAACTGTCAGAATAATCTTCAAATTCGGTCGTTACTGAAAAGCACCGAACTGGCGAATATCGAAAACCTCATGAACAAAATTAACAGTGACCTTCCAAAGTCCCATAGACCCTTTCTTTTCCTTGCATAGGCCACCAGGTGGTGCTCCAATCTTTGACGTCCCAACGAACTTCCGGTTAATAAAAAGAATGAACAAAGCACCCCTTAAAACTACTGCTTGAAACGTCAATTAAACATTTAACCATCGATTTTCCAAGTGAACGCCAAAAGAACTAAGAAGCGCGATTTGTTCGAAATTGGCGAATATTCTTGTAAACCAACTTGGCTTCTCCAAGACATTAAATCCTACAGCCGAAGGTTTTTTCTAAATCTGCAACTTTGTTTTCCGTGTAGCATTTATATTTTCTTGCACTAGTAACATCAGCAAGCTCGGCAGGCTTGCAAAGATGAAGCGAACGGAGGGTGCTTGGGACGCAAGCAACGGTCCATGTCGCAATTCGGATTTTGTAAAAGACACTCGACAGAGCTGGCACATACAACTGGCCCTCCTGGAAAAAAAAAAGAAAAAAAAGAAAAAAAAACATTTTGCGAAGGATTGAGGACAAAAAGATGGCTTGAGGACAAAAAGATGGCTTTTGGTATTTTCGTTGATTTTACGAAAGCCTTTGATTATTTATACCATGACTTGTTGATAAAGAAACTTGAAACGTACGGCTTTCGCGGACAAGCGTCAGCTATGATTTCATCACATCTTGTTCTTCTTAAACAGTATGTTCATATCAACGGGTACACTCCTGATATTCAACCTGGCGTTCCATAACGCGGTATCTTAGGCCCTTCATTGTTCAATTTATATACTAATGACATCGTGAACGTAGATAAAATGTTAAATATGACAGCTATGCTGACGTTACAAGTTTGTTTTTAACAGGTGTTTGCTATGATGACCTAGCACATAGGGCGAATCAAACTCTATAGAAGTTTAGTAGCTGGAGCCACGCTTACGCCTTAAAAATCAACGTGAGCAAGACTAAAGCTGTTTAGTTTCAACCGAAGAATAAAAATGCAGCTATTACTAGAGATCAGGCACGAAGCCGGGGGGGTGGGGGGCATGAGGTCCGCCCTCCCTCCCCCCTCCCCCCCCCCCCCCCCCCGAAATCTTCCATTTTGGTGGGACCTCCGCTCCCCCCTCCCCCTCATACAGCATTTTGTCATGGGCGCCCCCCCCCCCCCCCCCCCTTCCCCGAAACAAAATCCTGGCTACGTGCCCGCTAGAGATATCGTTTTGAATTTGTGAAAAAAAAAAATACAAGTTTTGACCAGGTTTAGATGACCTGGACAAATGACTTGTGATGAACATCTGAACCATATCTTAATAAAGCTGTCAGGTGTGATCGGCGGAATGTATCGTCACCTCTCTATTTTGCCAAAAAATGCTAAAATGTTAATCTATAACTCGTTATTTCTTTCACGTATACATTATAGATCTCGTCTGGGCATATGAAGCATAGGGCACTATGGAGTTACACTGTAATCCCGGTTACAGTGTAATAACATAGCGGTACAAGAGCCTCCCGCCAAGTTTAATTTGTGTAATAAACCATCAATATAGTAGGTGACAGGTTAACAGTTCAGGTCCCAAGCTCCTCTCACCTCTTTCCACTTTAACAGAGCGAACGCTGGGGAGGAGGCCACTTCAAGCGAACGCTGGAGAATTCACTTTTCGGTGCACATTCGCATTCTTTGTACCTAGAAAGAACGCGGGAGGCTCGGGTTAGGGGAACCAAACTCGGGTTAGGGGATAGTAACTTAGCGGTACAACGGCCTCCCGCTCGGAGCAAGAGTTCATTCATCTTACTTCTAAACTTACAGCTGGCTAAACAGAGCCCAGAGCGCGAAAATCCCGAAAAGAGGGCCTTAGAAGTAACCTTTGGGGCAAACGCCCATTTTCCCTGTCCAATGGCTAATACCACGGGTAAAGTCAAACCCGGGTTAGAGGATAATAGCCAAGCAGTAAAAATATGGCCCGCCGAGTGCAAAAGCCTATTATTTTTACTTCTAGAGTTACAGCTGGCTAAGCATAACCCAGAGCGTGAAAATCTAAAAACTATGACCTTAGAATTATTATTTTGGGAAAACGCGCATTCTCCCTGCGTAAAGGCTAAAACCCCGAGTGAAGTCAAACCCGGGTTAAGGATGGTGAGCTGGCGTTATAACAACGGTTGACCAAGTTGACTGTGTTTTTTTTTTTTTTTTAGATTTTAGCAAGGCTCTTGACAAAGTTCCTCATCAGTTGCTTCTATTAAAACTTAGCAAATTATGAATTGATCCTAACATAACTGCCTGGATAGCCTGTTTTCTAACTAACCGATATCAGTTTGTTACTGCTAATGACAACACCTCTTCCCTCACTTCCGTCAGATCCGGTGCTCCTCAAGGATCCGTATTAGGCCTTCTACTGTTTCTCATTTACATCAACGACCTACCTAATTGCGTCTCATCATTAATTCCTTTTTTCGCTGACGACTCTGTACTATATACTAAACCTACAAACGACTCTGATGTTTCAAAGCTCCAGACAAATATCAATGCTGTTTACCACTGGTGTGTACTTTGGAATGTGGAACTTAACATTACTAAATGTAAATTTATGAGGATATCGCGTACTAATCCTCATGTGCCTTTCTACAACCTCAGCAACGTCCCCTTAGTCCCTGTTTCTTCTTATAAATATTTGGCTGTTCACATTACTTGTAACCTCTCCTGCAAACTGCATGTTGATTATGTCATCAATAACGCTACCCTCATGCTAGGTTACCTGAAAAGAAACTTGCTCTCGCACCGTCAGCACTAAAATTAACACTGTATAAATCTCTCGTTTGTTACAAATTAGAGTATGCTTCTTCTATCTGGGACCTCAGTCAGTCTAATCTAATTAATGTTCTGGAAGTGGTCCAAAACCGTTCTGCCCGTTTTATTCTAGGTAACTATCACCGCACTGCAAGTGAACGCTCCATGAAAATCACCTTGTTTAATGCCTAACCCCTCTCTTCGACGTAAAGTAGCTCGTTTATGTCTTTTTCACAGAGATCTATCATGCTAATCTGTACGTAAAGCAACGTCTTTTCATACCACCGTTCTACAGTTCACCTCATATCGATCATCACCTAAAAGTTACAATTTGTAAACGTAATACAAACGCATTTCTAGAGTCATTCGTCCCTAAACGTTTTTTTGGAACGGAATCCCCTTCCGACTTCCGTAATCAATATTGCTGATGTTTAGAAATGCTATGAACACTCTTTACTGTCCTGAGCCGCCACGATATCTGATGTATACTCTGCCCTTTTGTTTCTTTTTGTGTGTTATTGTGTTACTCACACTACCCTCTTTAATGCCGATTGGCCCTGAGGGTATTTAAATTATTAAATGAATGAAAAAAACAACCCATCCTGCTAAACATGACCCAGAGCGCCGAAATCCCCCCTAAATATGGCCTTAATATTAACTTTTTAGGCAAACGCAAACTCTCCTTGCCCAAAGGTTAAACCCCGCGGGTGAAGTCAAACCAGGACTAAAGGATGGTAACCTAGCGGTAAAAGTACGTTCCAAGTGCAAAAGCATATTCTTAGTATTAGTACTAGTTACAAGGAGTTGTAAGTATTAGTACAAGTTACATGGAGTCATTTTTGGTTAAAAAATGTGCTTTCTATAGAGCAAGGTGAAACGCCATCCAGCAGTCTGAGCTTCAAAACATAGGCATTCCTTAAAATACACTGCAGTTACTATGGACATGATGGAGTTAAATAGACATGATGGACGAATGTATTTCGTGTTTTAAGCTGCTGTCGAAAGATAGCATAAACTTAAAATGCTCTGTGTGCGAGCACAGGTATCACGGGGGAAAGTGCTCGGGTGTGACTAAAAACGCTTTAAAAAACATGACAACTGAAACGTTCGAATCCTGGGTATGCTTGACGTGTAAGGTGCACGAGGAAAGGCAGTCTGGTGTTTCAGGGAATGACAATTCCGTTATGCCCCCATTGCTGGGGGAGCCTGAACCAGTGGGCGTAGCAGCCGAAATAGCTGAAATGAACAAAAAAACTAACGAGCGTCTTAGAGAAGGTCACGAAACTAGAAACAGCGCTGAAGAAGTATGACGAGCTACTCAAAAGATCTGAGCACCAGGAGAAGGAGATTGCTGAGCTGACAGCAAAAACCACTCAGCTTGAAGTCATTATCTCGGAACAAACCTGCGAGATTACTAACTTGAAGGTTGTTATTAACAGAACTGAGCAATACTCCCGGCGCAAGAACATTGAGATTCATGGAGTAAGACAATCAGAAAACGAGAAGGTACTGGATTTAGTGAAGAGTCTCTCAGAAAAACTAGAACTGCCACCAATAACAGAACATTCAGTGGCGGCTGTTCACAGATTAAGAACGCGAGAAGGAAGAGTGGCTCCGATACTCGTAAGATTCACGGAAAGGAACACACGAGACCTATGGATCAAAAAACGAGTGGCATTAAAAAGAGACGGTGTATACGTAAACGAAAATCTAACGGCGACTACGAAGAACCTCTTATGGGTTACAAAGAACAAGGCCAGAGATAAGGAATATAAGTTTATCTGGGTGAAGAATGGGCAGATCTTTGTCAGACAAAAAGAAGGCGCTGCGGTGATCCGGATTGAAAGTGAAGCAGATCTGAACAAATTGAGATAAATGAGTGAAGATGTCAGTGACATAGGCTCTTTTAACAGTTTTGTTCACTGGGACGAGTACGCCAGGAGTGTGATGAGAGAAGAAAAAACTAAAGAAGTACTAAACGTAAT